CAGCATGCCCCGCGGGAGAGCCTGGACGCAGGCGGAGGTCAGCAGCCTCCTGGCGCTGGTGGGAGGCTCAGGGGAGGCCGCCCTGCTCATGGCCTCCACGTCGCGACCCAACGAGGCGCTGTGGCGGGAGATCTCCCAGGGGCTGGCAGCGGCCGGCTACGGGCGCAGCGTGGCCCAGTGCCGCTCCAAGTGGAAGGCGCTCAAGCAGGCTTTCCACTCGGAGCGGGAGACGCGCCGGAGAGCAGGACACCACTCTCCCCGCCTGCCCCCGCACTACCGAGCCATGAAGAGCATCTGGAAGGCGGCCGGGCGGCCCGTCTTTGGCGAGCGGAGGATGCCAGGTGGGTGCCGGGGACGGGCAGGACAGGCTGGATATGGGGTGCTGGGAGAGCACTGGCGCTGCATGGCCACCCCGGGTATGTTGATGATCTCTTTCTCTTCCTCTAGACCTGGTGAAGCTGCCCCCTAGGAGACGCAGGTCAGCCCTTGCCACCCGCACTCCATCCTCACCAGAGCCACCAGGTACCCATGGGCTCAGGCAGGTAGAGCAGGGCTTGTCCTGGCTGTGGGATGGCAGGCACCCAGTTACTGAAGCTCTTATCTGCACCCCCCCACCCTCTTTCTGCAGACCATGATGCTGGTGAGGATGCCCTGGGCACAGTGCTGTCCCCGCTGCTGCAGTGTGCGAAGGATGAGCCAGAGAGCCGTAAGTACCGGTCTGCCCCGCTGCACCGGGCTGCATGGCCACGGCTCCAGCCCAAGCCCATGCCAGCATGAGGGGAACGGGGAGCTTAGAGGGTCGGGGGGCCCATCACGAGTGCCTCAGCAGGGATGCTCACCAATGGGGGTGTTGGGACTTCTCTCTCCAGAGGCTTTGGCTCCAAACCAGCCCCAGAGCATGAAGGGATGGGAATGGCTGGGACGGGTCAGGAGGGGTTCCCCAGCTCTGACCCACTCTGAGGGCATGGTGAAGCTGCTGGCTGCCCCATGGCAGGTTGCGAGGCTCAAGGTCTCAAAGGGACAGTGGCCCTGATCTGGCCCAGGGGTCTCTCATGGCTGTGCAGCACTGCAGGGCATGTGACTCCCCTTCCTTCAGCAGGTCCTGGTCCCCCCTTCCCCAGTAACCCCATAAGGCTTTGGATGAGTTAGGACTGGGTGTGAGGGCCAGAGGTGCCTGCAGCTCCCCTGCCCCACAGCCCACCCAGGGGCAGATCCTGTGCCCCCCTCACTGTGCTCACTCCCCGGGGTTTGGTGCGGAGGTGGCACAGAATACTGTTCCTGGATCTTATTTGCATGGGTGCCCCGGCCAGCATCCCGCACTGGGTAATTACCTTCTGTCTCCCTAAATTCCCCCTGCAGTTTCAAGTGGATGTGGGATTCTCCTTCACTTCCAGTCCTAATCTGTTGTGTAGCGCTGCTGCGTGCTGCTACGCCGCTGCTGCCTTCCAGCCCAGAGGTGGCTGCATTGCAGTGGTGGGTGAGTGACTCCTGCTTTTGTATCTAGCTTGTGAAACGCTTTGGGGCCCTGCAGGGCGCTGTGGAGCTGTGGCTAGGGCATGTCGGGCTGCGGGGCTGGCCGGGGCAAGCTGGGCAGACCCCAGGCTGGTGGTGATCCCCTGGCAGGTCCTGTCAGCAGCGCATCTCTCCTCTCTGCTTTCTCCCGGCAGCCGGTGGGGACCACGTCGCTGGAGTGCTGCCCGCTCCCCCCACTATGCCACGTAAGGCTTTCCTTGCCCCACTCAGCCCAGTAAACCCCTGCAAGCAGGGTCTGATATGGTTCTCATTGCAGATGCTGGTCACTGCGTCCCATCCCTTCCCCTCCTGGGTGAGTACCATACCCAGGCCACTGTGCTCGTGCACCCTGGTTCAGGAGGTAGCTGCAGCTTATGGACTGTGTCTGCTCTCTTTCCAGGCTCTCACACTGCCCTGAAGCACGAAAGAGCCGAACAAAAAGCTGGTAAGTGTCTGTGGCTTTGACCAAGTCCCCCTGCTCCAGGAGACAGTTCTGATCTGTCGGCCAGTGGGGACAGAGAGCAGGGCCTCCCACAGGCCTCAGCGGTGAGTTCAGGCTGAGCACAGGGGCTTGGGTGGCTCCAGCACTATGGTTGCTTCCTTCCTCCATGCCAAACCATCATGACAGGTTTTCCTGGTGAGTCGTCTCCAGGGATGGTAAGAGGAAACCGAGTGCTGTCAGTGGCCGCCGCAGGCCCGGACTCCCCCGGGACGGCTGCCATGAGTGAGCAGCCAGCAGCGGGTGAAGAGGCATCAGACACAAGCCTGCACGGTGGGTCCTCCCTGCAGCATCCCAACAGCCTCACAGTGGGCCCTCGGAAATGTGGTGAGGGTTTGCTGCCACTGACCCCCCTCTCACTGCAGGCTCCGGCGTGGCAGGCTTGCTCCAGAGCGTCCAGCAGCTGCTGGTGCAGATCCTGCAGACGTCACGGCAGCAGCAGGCACTGCTGGAAAGCCTGGCCAGCGACACCATCTCCCACCTCCATCTCCTCTCCCACAGCCTGGTGCAGGTGGGCGAGACCCTGCACCAGCTCCTGCTCCGGCCACAGACCCACCTTGACCCCCTTGGCCACTACATCCCCCACATGCCTCTTTTTGAGGATGGCCTTGGGTTACCCTGCTCCCCGGACAGTTCCCACACCTCCCCGGATCACAAAGAGGAGCCTCAGGTGTCCCCTGCCGCCAGCTGCACCCTTCCATGAGTGCCACCATCCCCGGCCCCTGGGGCAACGCCATTGCTACACAGTCACGGCACAAATCTTTATAGCAGAGGCCCAGATATTTTGGAAGTTTATAGAAGAGAGACATTTTAATAAAATTAAAAATAGCTTTTGTACCAGCAATGACAATCGACCGATTTCTTCCCCCTCTTTGGGGGATGTTCCCCTTCTCACTTTCGAGATGAGCAGAAGGGGAACTCGGCTATTTGCAGCCTCCCGAGAAACTCCCAGGCCACACGCCATGGGGCAGATGGTGTTGCTCTGCCCCTGCTTGCTCCCCAACAGCTTCCAGCCCCCCTGAGGCATGCAGGACACCAGCCTGGAGAAGGTGCTGCCAGGCCGCACAGGGGAGCAGGGATGCAGGGGAGCAGAAGATGCTGGTGGGCTGGGGAAGGCTGGGAGCCCAGACAAGTCACAGGCTGCATCCTTCTGCAAAGGAAGGGGCTGGAGTGGGCGATGCGGGGCAGCACTGGACCTGGGGAGGCGGCACATGATGCAGCCATGGTCCCTTGGTCACCAGGTCTTTGGCTGGCCACTTCCAGCAGGCAAGCTGGGCCTGTCTGAGCTGGTGCTGTGGAGGACTTGAAGCATCCTGCGGTGACCCCCCTCCTGCTCCAGGCCGCAGGACATGGATCATGGCAAAGCGGTCACTGGCTCTTGCCTGGACTCCCACTGCCTCCACCAGGATGCCCACATCCTCCATGGGGGTGGTGTGGATGTGCCAGCTGCCTTCAGAATCTCTTGGCCACATACAGATAGAGGATATAGCCAGTGATACTGGTGTAGGGGAGGTATATGTCAGTCCTGTCTCGCCACGTGCCACTTGCTGGAGGGCTGGCAGGTGACCTGCCACTTCTTCCCAGAGGAGAGGGACCCCATGTAGAGGGCAGTCCATGCCAGGTCAAAGACAGCCAGGAAGGTGGGCAGGCAGTTCCTGTTGAAACAGTTGTCATCCATCTTGAGCATGTCATGGGGCCGGCACTGCTCAGATCCCGTGCATGACCTTCAGGGTGAGGTTGTAGTACATGTCCCTGCAGGTCCCCAACAAGACGTGCCTGAATTCCTGCCCTTCCTGCTGCACACCCCAGACCACTGCAGCCTCAGATGTCTGCCCCACCAGAAACACTGTCTGCCAGGGGCTTGCCAAGGCACCCCACATCCTCCAGATACACATGCCAGCCAGCTGGAACATCCCACATATGGCCAAGCCATGGAGAGTGGCCAGGGGCATGGCCAACGGGGGCCACCAGCAAGTGGCCAGGCTACAGCACCAGCGAGCTGCAGTGTCACACCCCAGCTGGCATCTGGCGGGGGAGAAGCGTGGGTGAGCAGTGCTGGGAAAGCCCGTGACCTCTCCCGGCACCATCCCTCGTCCCACACCAGTTCTGCACCCCGGCTCAGAGAGAAGGGCCGTGTTGCGGAGGCACGCTGGCCCGGTGATGCAGCGGGCAGGGAGCGGGGGCCGCGGGAGCTGCCAGGAGCAGGGCCAGCGCCGGTGGGGATGTGCTCCCACGGCCGCACACAAACCATCCTCTGTGTTCCCGGGCAGCGAGCAGAAAGCGGCTGGCTGCTGGCCAGCAGCTCTGGCCCCCAAGCCTTACAGCGGTCTGCAAACAGCTCTGCCCTGACTTTCCCCCTCGGGGACCACTCTGGGTGGGCAAAGACAGGATAAGGGTGGGATCTCCCTTCCTGAGCCCTGCTGCTCCCAACCAGTGAGGCTGCAATGGAGGGGGGGCACCTTCGGGCAGTGGTGGCCCATGCTCCCCACTGCTGTGCTCCCCGTCACCCCACTGAGGTCCCTGCCACCCTGCCTTCCTCCCTGCCGTGCTCCCCGCCAGAGGCTGCAGCCTCCTCCCTCCAGCCCTGGGACACCATGGCACCCATTCCCTGAATTTTGGGGGTGCTGGGGCAGTGGGGCAGGCTGTTACCCCAAACAGAGAGGGGGCGGCTCCCTGGAACGAGGTGAAGTGCAACGAGGGAGTGCCCTGGGAGGGGGATGGGGGTAGAGGAGGGGGGGGTCACATCAGGGCCTGCAGTGGGGGGCTCTGAGGGTTGCAGATCGGGGTGCATGGGGTGGCATTGGACATGCAGTGGGGAGACAGCGGTGTGAAGAGCCAGGAATCAGGGAGGTTTAGACCCTGCATGTGAGGGGTGCAGGGGGGGTGCAGGGAGGTGGTGGGGTGCAGTAGGGGTGCTGTGCGGGTGCAGGGTGTCAGGGGGTGCAGGGTAGTGGGGGTGAAGTGGGGGTGCAGAGTGGTTGTGGGGTGCAGGGTGGTGATGGGATGCAGTGGGGGTGCAGAGTGGTGGGGGGGTGCAGGGTGTCGGGTATGCAGTGGGGGTGCAGGGTGTCGGGGGTGCAGGGTGGTGGTGGGTGCAGTGGGGGTGCA